ACTGAAATTAAACATTTTATCATGTTGGATTTTTCAGCTGTGTCACGCTGTCCCACTCCACAGAGGAAAAAGCACAGGAACAGTGTTAATCTGTCCTTTGTATTGTGAACTGTTCATTCATGTCTGCAAAAGCACAGCACACCTAGAACTTTAAAAAACAGTTTACCTTCAGAATCAACAAAGAACTGAACAACACGACGACAAATCCACTGAAGTCAAATTAAGATAAATAACAAAAGATGTTTCATTAGAAAGACATTCATAAATCACAATTGTAATTTCACTGCAGATTTATAATGAAATCATGTTTAGTGTCATTTAGCTTTTCAGCAACTGTGATATTTCTGCAAATCTAAAAATTAAAAAAGAATTGAAAAAAAAATCATAAATGTGAAAGAAGCTTTATGGGTTTCCATGATTTAGAAGGGTTACAACACTAATTACTAGGAACCTTGTGCAAAACACCTTTTTAAACCTGATCTAAGCAGACATGAGGCAATCATTGAAAGAAAAGGGTTTCGCTGCTCTGAATGTGTTCCATTAACACCAGCAGTAGCTTCACAGTCTCACATTTGCACATCATACCAGAACAAATCATCCTTCTTCACTGTGTTGCTACCAATTTCTTTCTTTTTTTTTTTTTTTATAACATGTAAAGGGGATGGTCAGATTAGCTTAAAAATTTCCATCAGGTTTTTTCATATGGCTAAATCAGTGTGTAGAATTTATTCTGTAAAATTGCATTTCGCTGGCAGCCCAAGGTCTTGCTACAGCCTGCATAACGAGCTCAGTTAGCGTGGCACATGCTCGTTCTGGAAGTCCAATTACAGAGCATCCTGGAAAACGGCTGGCATTTGTCCGTCTTTGTCTTCTCCACTCTGACATTCGGTTAGTTTATAGGGCACCGCATTCACTCCATCTGTAATTATTATTTTGCTGTTGTTGCTGTGGTTTTCTTATCCACACTAAATGTAGCGATGTCATTTCCATCCGTCCAAACTGCTCGGCTTGTTCGGGGCTGGAGAACACACTGGGTGACATTCTGGGTCGGCACACCCAGGACGGGTCCATCACAGGACGAGGAATATTAGACAAGTGAATGTATGAATGAACACAGAACTCACCACCATGCAATACAACAGACTAATAACTGATTTTTATTTTCAGGCAACAGCTATTTTAACCACCTCAGAGAAGCAAATAATATTAAATGAAATGTGACTTGTGCTTTATTTTATGGAGAAATCTGAGAGCTGTATTGAATGTACTGAAACACAGAACGAACCCTCACTAGTTCCCCACCAGGAATTATACTGCACCCACTCGTACGCTGCTTCTGTGTTGCCTCTCATATCGACTCGGTAGATGTCCCTTCAGAATGTAGATGGTGACGTAGCTTGTAAAATTGGAGTTTTAATGCTAAATTGACCTCAGTTGCGCAATAATGAGAAGCCTGAAATGTACGTGTTGATGCCTGAATTATTTATGATTTTCTCCTCAGTTCGCTTGCCTTCTCGTTATCGGGGCTGGAAATGAGTTTGCTGAAAACTGGCCAAAGTGAGATCTCCCCTCTCGGCTTACAGAACATGGCGCATTAAAGTGAATCACAGCAGACAGCTGGGGCCGCCCTTTATGGTAATGCACCCTCTACAATTACTGCTTCGACCTTCCCTGGTGAAGAAAAATGGGGAGACGTCCATTTAGCGGCCCGTTCAAACACTTAGTGGCAGACATGTTGGGCAGCAGGACCACCTTTTGCCTGACATTGACTCTTGTTTAGAGGAGACACAGAAGACATTAGAAAGGTGACAGGTTGACAGATGAGATGCATCTGTCAACCTGCAAGAGGACCATGGGGCTTTAACGCATCCACACGGTCCAGTAGCACACTGGTACATGAACATGGTTGGAGATAATGATGCCTGGAGCTAATGGTTCCCCTCACTATTTATGTCAAGTAATCAGTGAGCGGTTTATAAAATGACTGAAAAGAATGAAAATCCACCATTTCCCACTGCCCACGTTCTGAGATTGTCTGATTTAATAAACAAACACAGTTTTACAATATGCAACTAAGAAAAGACTCTTCATATTTGGGGATCTGGAAAGAGTGACCACTTGATGGTCTTTTTGTTGGTGGTGGTGGAATTTTTTAATTTGAAAACTAATGTGAATTAAAATATTGTAAGTCTGGATTAGAGCTCAAAGTGTTCATGTTTGACTGTGTCTTCTACAATAGTCAACTGAATATGTTTAGCTTAGGTTGTAGAAAACCTGCTTTCAACTGACACAGATTTGTTCTGAAGCATCGCAAACATATATTACTGTACAAGAAATGGTCAATACAATGTGTGTCCTGACAACATTTTACAGAGATTTGGTTAAAATGAATGTTGTAGCTCTTTTGATACTTGGATCTACAAGGTAGAAGATCCTCAGGAGAAGTTTTTCTTAGCACTGAGAGTAGGTGGTGTATTAACAAACAAAACAAATGAAATTATAAAGCCAGAGAGGGGGTTAAAATTGTTTAAAATAAATCAGAATTTTGGAGATTTCTAAGAAAAAAAATGTACATTTGCAAAAAAAACAAACAAAACCTAAAAGTCAGAAAATATTAATATATATGTTGATATTTTTACATTTTAAATTCAAGATCTATTTTTTAATTCAGATTTGTATTCATTTCCACTCATTTTTTAAATTTATTTTACTTTTTATTTATCATATTCTGTCTTACTTTTATATATATATTCTTTCTGTGTTTATTTATTTATATCTATCTATTAACACACTTTTCTATTAATGTCTTGTTGTGTTTATTTTGCCATTCCGACTTCTCCTGCCTCATTGTAACCTGATGTGACCGTTATTTATGACAGTGTTTCCTCACTTCCTCACTTCCTGTTTTAATTGAGTTTTTTGTTCCTAACAGTGGACTAGGGGGCTGTTCTTTTGGTTGTGTGAAGCACTTTGTGTTACCTTCTGTTTGTATGAAAATACAAATACAGATTACACATTGAAGTCTGAGAAATTCTCTGAGCCATAAATTCACATGTAAAAAATAATAACATTTTAAATCTAATCAAAGTTTTATATATATACTGTATTTAATCCTCATCATATGACCATGAGACTTCATAAATCTGCATATTGATTTGTGTCATGAAAACGTCTGTGCACATAGCAACATGGACAAAGGCAAGCCCATGTTTTATATTTTCACTCCTCCTCCTCCTCACTAGTCTCACTTAGCCAGGCCATTCTGTAGAACATAATGGTCTGGCTGCACCTCACCATCATTCTGCCAGAGGAGTGAAAAACAAAAAAAAACACTCTGGCTTGTTCGTATTTCTTTAAATTCATCTTGGGTGGAGCTAAGCGGAGGCTGCGGCGCTGTGGTGGTGAGGCCTTCCCTGTTTACTGCTGGTGTCTGTGATCAGGTTGATCCAATCTTGTGGAGTGATGTGGTTCTTTTACCCCAACCCAAAACACGGGTTTTTCCAAGTTTTGTTCTTGTAAATGTGTGACTTTAATCTTAAAAATCCTGTTCTGTTTCCCAGAATATTACCCCTCTTGATGGCTCAGTAATTTTTATCTCCAGTGGCCTTGATGAACCACTCCCTTCGGTATTAAAAATAAATGTGTGTAAAAACTCTGCACTACTTTAGACTTGCCAGCTTGCTGTGGAAATGTTAATTCTTGTACTTTTCCTGTATTGAAAACATCCTGAACAACTTGACTTAAACCTTAGAGAGATAATAAAACATGCAAACACATTAGAGCAATGGCCATCTGCCACTTCTGACACTGAAGGGTATACAGTGGTCATTCAAATAAAGAGCTCTGTACTAAACCTCTACCATCAATTAAAACACTTTCCTTGCAAATACACTGCAGGTATAAATAACAAATTCAAGACATGCTGTGGCAAGTGAAGGTGGATATATAAAACAACACAAAAAGCATGTTGGAACGCCGAGACGTGAGGCGGCTTTAAGGTTTTTTTTGACATGTTATCATGACTCAGAAGCATTATAAGACAACCCACTGCTTTTGCATGAAACAATTTCCATTTGTCCACATGCCTAAGTGGGTGAGAAACTCGCTTTATGCCTCTTCCAGCGAGGGATTTAACACACCTGGGTAAGTGAAAAATAGAACAGATGAATGTCTGGACCTGAATGTGTCTGGTTGAGAGGTGAGATCAGGTGAGATCTCTTTGTAGAAACAGAGAAACTGGTCAAAAGAGGAGACTGCAAAGTGCTTTGCTTTTAATATGTTTCTTAGCGCTCTCTGTATCCGGTGTCTTTAATAAGAATTAAACACATAAACCCTTCACACCGTGGGTAGTCCAAAAGATCCTACAGCTAATGTGCTTAACCTTGTGAACCCCAAACCCTTCTGGAGGGCTTGAAAGGCATGTTGTCTTTGAAGAAATTGCCAAAGTTATACCATTTATCAGAGTTAGAAACTGTAAAAACAGGATGAATTGTCCGATTGGCAACTTTCCGACAGTCCTCAAACTAGTGATGTGTGAGTTCAGTCAGAAAACTTAACCAAATCTAAGTTAAAAATTGTGATATTTCATCGAAGTCATTTGCAGTATTGGCTACATCTGTGGGCAAAATGGTGATTCCCTTTTCTTTTTTTTTCCAATTATTGCAAAATAAGAAATCGTGGACATGTAATTTCTCTCCTTTTTGTGTGATTTCTGACATCATTACTTTGTTTTCTGCACAGAAGACATTATTGACTTCTCTCTACTTCTAGTCATGCTTGTGCTGTTTCCGTAGAGGTGCAGGACTTATAAATATTGCAGTGAAAAACGATCCCACTGTGAGTAAAAATATAACTGGAGCAAATAAACACCTAGAAACTGCCGTCAGTTCAGAGGGTTAAACCCACACTGTGGCCTCCGTTAGACAACAAGCCGCCACCCAACCTGCATGAAGAACGGCTGTGCGTTGCATGTCATCAGACAGAAAAAAGTGGAAACTCACCTTTTATTCTCAAGCTCTCAGGGATCCCATCCTGCCAAAAGAAAAAGAGATCAAATGAATCATATGAGATGAGAGCATCGTCAACATGACACAGTTGTTTCCACTTAGCTGGATGAGTGAAATCCTTCGTTTTTCTTTCACAGAAATGATTTTATTGACAGTTCACCAATTCTCATTACAAGCAGCATAATGCGCAATTGAGTTCACACGTCAATGCGGGCGTGACATAAAGGTCAGAGTGTTTCTTTCGCTCTGATGCCGCGTAATGTTGCCCGTTTGAACGGCAATTAATGATGTAACATTAAGTCAGACAGTTCAGTGCCTTTATGTTATGTAGTTATTTGCCTCACTCGCAGTGAAAAACCTTGAATCGGTTACCATAGTCACTTCACCTGCTACTATTCTGAGCACAATGGATATTTTAATTATTTCATTTTGTCCCATTTCTCCTGACCTCACTCATCCCGTGCTGTTTTCAATCATGAGATTTGTTGCATTTACATTTTGGATTCTCTGTTTGCAGACGGAGCATTTTAGGGTGACAGAAATCTAGAGGGATAGATGTTGTTGTTGTTCAGCTGTTTCAAAGCACAATTACTGCCTTTAGATCGTGTAATCTAATTGTTTTCATTCTCTTTCCTTCGCTCTTTGTCTTGCTTTTACGTTCGGACGACTTGCTGCATCACCTGCCTTTAATCACTTGCCCATACTAGCAGTTCAAATCCCCCCCCCACACTGTAACTGGACCGCATCTGACAGAAACAGATGCGGTGGAGTGTATTAAAAAAATCATAGCGTACAGACATATAAAGAAGAGCAAATCACTGTGACCCTCTGAGTAGCTGCACTTTAAAATCAGCTGCATTTAGAGCGTGCACGGCGATCACGACTGCAGAAAACGCCGCTATCAGAACTACTATTCTAAGTAGGCGCTCTCCACAAACCATGAATGCAAAAAGAAGAGGCATAAATATTTGATTTCTCTACAGCGAAATCTGCATAGCTCATCCTTCTCGTGCTCGTACGGAAAAGTCAGATTCACTTTCCGCGAGCTCAAGCAGGCTGCCGGTATGGACAAGATGCATTATGCAACAGGTCTACAGTCAATAACGAACGGTGACCCCTGACTGCCGACTGAAAACAGCAGATTACCCGATCCCTGGGTTTGTGCAGAAAATCTACATACCGTATGTTTTTTTTCCCGTAACATATGCTCTATTGATTCTAAGTTGATTAATACGAGATATGATATGTTTAAGCTATTTTACTTGGACTGTATATAAATAATTATATCCAAGAGATGTCACAGGTTAAATATTTCCTTGGACTACAACGATACTGCAGCTCATCTTCTTCTTTTGACTCCTGTATACTGTACAGCACCGCACATATTTAAAATTACAGTTGCTAATGAAGTGCTTATCAGAGGAACAAACACCCGTATGAGCAATTATATTCTTTTAACAAGTCTTCAGGTGAGTGTGAAGACTTCCTATGGCAACTGGGCTGCTGTTAAACGCAACCGTTTATGAACCGCAGCTAAAACCTGAGAAGAAAATATCACCACGCCAAGCAGAGCGGCACCGCTCTTTATCATCACAGACAAGGTACACTCATGAAGAAACTCCTGCCCAGAAAACACTTCTGTTAGAGAGCAATATCGACATTTTTTGTTATTGCTGTAAGGCTGCGGCCAGGAATTATTTTAATTGCTGATTAACCTCTAAATTGTGTTTTTTTATTCAATCCATTTCAAATCCAGTCCAAAACTCAAAGATATTCTATTAATAGTCAGAGCAAGTCCTCCAATTTACAAGGCTGGAAGGAGCAAATATACAAAATGTCTGTTTGAGAGACAACTTCACCCTCGAAACCCAAAAATCTACTGGTGGTTTTGAAAGGCCTAAAAATCCTACTCTACTCTAACCCTTACAAAAAAATGGCAGATTTTAAACTTTCCAACAATCCGTAGCTCTATTCAGGACTTTTGGGGGTCTTTTGGACCCCGGGCCATTTGGTTTAGGTGACTGGTATTGTTTTTTTTATATTTTTTAAATATAAAAAGAGGGATGTTTGTCATTCATGTGGAACTAAAAATGCGTCAACTTATCAGAAAATGTATTTAACATAGTATAAAAATCTAAAATGAATACTAATGGATATTTTGCACATATTCTTTCTTGGCCCCAAAAGACCTTCATGGCAACATCAAAGTCCTGAATAGGGTTAAACTACTCATCTGTGACATGCTGTTCCCTTTGAAAAATGTACCAAACCATATAAACAGTTACCGAAACAAACTGTGCACTTTAACCAGATTCTGGTAACAAAAAAGAAAAGAAAATTTAATGCTGCCATTTCCCCCACCTGTGGGCACATAAACATGCTGATAGCAGATTTCCTAAATGTTTTGCAAAATGAATAAATATACATTTTAAAATTATAATAATAATCTGGCATTATAACTGTGTCATACTGCTGTTTCCATCGAGGTACAGGACTTTACCGTGCAGTGAAAAATGTCACAGGAGCAAAAAACATTCAGAAACAGCTTGAGTTCAGGAGGTTAATGGATTATTATTTAAACTGTTTGATACATGTTTAAAGAAGAAAACAAGTTTGGCATAGTTACAAAATATTAACCACAGTATTGAATACATTTAAAATTTGACTTTTATGGAGACACTAGAAAAACAGTCATCACCTAAGTTCATGAAGATCACAAATACAGAAAGTGGCATACAAGATGTATCACAAATGTCAGCCTCCTGGTGAAGTTAGGGGACCAGCAAAGGTCATCATATTCATCCTCTTAGAACCATAAACGACAACTTCTTGCAGTAGTCCGTTCAGTGGTTGTTGAGATACCAGCCACTGCCACGCCAAGGACCAACATAAGACGACTAAGTTAAATATCATGATCTGGTAAACAGTTACCCCCGCCAACCATCTCTCTGAATGTTTGACAACATTGCTGATCAGCCGTACCGTCGGCAAGAATCACAGAAAACACCTGTGGTTCTCTGACATTCTTTGTGTGCCCCCACCACCAGCCTCTCGAGGAGGGTGACATTTAGAGTTGCACTGCAGGTAGGGAAGATATCAAATGGGACTTATTTGCATATGGCAGACAGTGTTCACACTTCATTTGTTTGAAGAGAGTGATTTCCCTTGGGCCGCTGGCGGGCCTGTCTCTTCTGCCCTGAGAGTCTGGGGACGGTGAAGCACCCAGCTGTACAACTCGTGCTTCATCTGCCCCTGTCACAGCTAGCTGGCTGACCGCCCACATCTATCGCTCTCTCCCTCTATCTTTGTCTCTCGCTGTCTCTCAACCGTCCTCGCTCCGCCAGCACCAGCCTCTCCTCCTTGTCTTTTTCTCTCCGCTGCTGTTTCAGATCTCGTGATCCTCACTTCTGCACATCACCAACTTCCAAGCACACCTAAACTTGCATCATACGACTGCAAATTGCAACATAACTCCTTGACAAGCGAGCAGAATACAGTAAACGACACCCCATCGACGAGGATGGATCTATCAGCTGGACCTGTTTCAGACAACAACACTGCTCTCTCATTCACTTAAATGTGACCCATGTTTAAGGACAGCAGGTGCACTTGCTGATGTAGAAGATTCTGGAAAAAAAAAAAAGCTGAACCTGGCTCAACTTTTGCCAGGGTTGATGTAAGGTCATGTATTTGGCAGACCATATATAGGGGAAGTGCATATTCCCAGTAGATTACCTGCATCAATTGCATCAATTTAAAAAAAGAGGGTCAATGTGCAAACAACCTTTATTTTTCCTTTGTTGGCAGTTTTTTGTTCTGCACCTCAGGGGACACTATAGACACTGGCTTCTTTACCCGCAGCAATAAGCCCACAACAATGCAGACCTTTGCATGTTTGGCTACATAGTCAGGAACTTCATGGGGACTTTATGCACCACAGATACCCTCAACACTTCTTTGTAATCTCCGTGTAAGTATGTTTAAAGGTACAGGCGAAGGTAAAGGCTATGAAAACATTGACCTTTATCATTCCTCAAGCTGAACAGTGGATTACTTCTACTTTTTTGTCTCCACAACAACAAAAAGATCTTTTCAGTAATGTAGCTAAAACTTTAGCTCTATGCTTTAGCTGAGTGTTTTAATTGGGTGATTGACTGTGTTTTCATGTAACTCAGCCAGAGTCGACATCTGTTTTGCTCACATATGCTGCATTTTAATACACATGAATTCGCCTCATATACATATTAGTTTTTTTGCCCGTTAAGACTATATGTTACTCGACAGTCACTTTCGGAGCAATATGCAGCTCTGCACCACTGAACTACTCATTTCATAACAACAGCAGTGTCTGACAAACTCGCCATAGAGTTTGAACCAGATGCCGGGCAGTGAATTTGGCAACAATTCCAGGTCAAATTATCACTCAGAGACAAAGTCCTGGTCAACCGTTTTGCTCCACGCTGGCAATCACAGACCCAAAGAGAGTCTTGTCGCTGTAAAAGGCATGAGCAGCAGGATCAGTTTTATTTAAAGCTACAGACAATGAAGCAGCCTGTTTACAACATGACTAAAACCGGATTTATACAGTCACGGTAAAGTGTCATCATCCTCGCAGCATTTTTAGCTGACAAATAATAATCATAATAATAAAAAAAACAAACATTCTGGTGACATTTGAAACTTTCATGAATTTGCTGAAAAGGGGCACAATGTGTGTCCTGTGCTTAGCTGTGATGCAGCTATTTCTGACAGGATGGTGAAGACTAGTCCCCACATTACTAAAAGTCATAATGTCAGTAAAAAAAAAAACACCAACTAAAGCAAATGAGCCAGAGAACAGCACATATAACCATGTGGCAGGACGCCTTTAAAAAAAAAAAAACCCAGGCTGACTCCAGCATGGCCGTCAACACCTTGTTATTGCTATAGCTGACTGGCTCCATACAGTATCTGCTTCTTTTAGCCCCCGTGGAGACTATACGGAAGCCGGTTACCTCACCCCGAAGCTGGCAGCCATTTGAAAGTAGACAGCTCATCAGGATGAGTGACAGGGGTTGGGGCTAAAACTGACCAGCTGAGGAAGAGGAGGAGGAGGAGGGTGGAAATAATACTGACAGTAGTCTCATGTAAGCCCACCGTCGACTGTTGCAGCTTTAACTGACGCTACTGTACATCAAAAGGTTTCTAGTGAATTTTTGCAGTTCATTCCTGTTTTTTTCTCCCATTTTCTGCCTCTTTATCTCAATCTAATTTGCCCACCGCCCCCTCTCTCTCTCCCTCCCTCCCTCTGTCTCCCTCTCTGCTTATCCTCTGTTAATCTAGATTTGCCATGTGGCCAAGCCAGTGCTGGATGGATGGGGCTTTGCACACAGTTGTCCTTGCCTCCATTTTGTTTGTCCTGACATAACAGCTTGATGTCAAAGCGACAAACTCACAGAAATTGCTTTTGTCCCTCATGTCGAGGAAAGTCTGGCCGCTTTTTCCCCACAAATTTCCCCAAATTACACATGAACTCACTCCATCACTCTTACAGTTAAACTCCTCGTGCAGGACCTTGAGCGAAGTGCAAGTGTTTACCGAAGGAGTGCCGGAGAACGGCAGCCGTCACTCTGAGTGGTATACACATTAAAACCAATTACAATTAGTGCAGGATTCGGCTGGACGGGATCCGTGTCCTGTGCCTGACCCCGTGTAGAGGATTTCACAGTGAATTTCTGAAACAATATCATGGGAATTACAAGTAGAACATGTGACCAGCTGTTTATGGCTGAGTGCCTCCTGGTGATTGAAGTCTTTGTGGGGAAAGCTTATAAGGTCGTATCCGATCCTGTTACCCTTGTCAAACACTGTCCTTCACTGCACAGGAAGAGGCATATCATTATACCGGCAGCTCCAAGCAAAGCACATTTCTCTGAATGTGTAGATGAGAACTCTAATGCAATTATGCAGTTAGAGGAAATATTCCGTGCCATCGTGTGTTTTTTTTTTGTTTAGTTTTTTTTCAAATAAATGATTTATGTGACAAGGCTGTAATTAAAACACTATACAAATGAGAATTTATGGATATTTTCCCACCACATGACTTTGATTATTTACTATACTTTCAGAAAGTTTAAACACTGAGCTGTCAGCCATGTTCTGAAACTTGGTATTGCTTGTCTGCGATATCTCATTTTGAAACAACTGTTAACGCTGCTCACTCAGCTGTATTGACAAGTGGATGACCCGAGCCTCTCCGCAGTCGAGCCAACAGCGGAGGAAATTCTCCAAGCAACAAAAAGGCCCGTGACATAATTTGAAAAAGGTCTTACAGTGTGGCTGTTTTTCTTTTTTTTTTCCACCAAAGGGCTGTAAAATTCCACAGGCCCGTTTGACAGGCAGATAGATGAGCGGAGTTTACCTCTGTCCTCTCGCAAGACGAACTGTAATGGTATGCAGATGCTGTAATGACATTCCTCTGCGATGTAATCACAGCGCCTGGCACATTAACTTCATTGGAGTGGAAAAGCACATACATCATTTTTGTAGCTTCTCGTCAAGTTCCCGCTACATGTGGACATACATTACTTTAATTATTAAAGTCACTCTGGCTCCAAATCAGGGCAGTAAAAAGAGACAAAGTCAAAACTATTCACTGTCCAACAGAGATAATTGATACAAAAGAGAGACGAGTGCAATGTCACTTCAGAATGTGCTGTTGGTTGATATAAAACTGATTTGAAAAGATATGTCTGCTCTATTCCTATGGCATAATAACAATAAAAAAAAGTATATCACGCAGTTCAGCAGAGAATAATAGAAAAGCAAGAGTACTGAGGATTGTGTTAGGAGAGGGAGATTAAAGCCCAACCATGGAAGGTTTTAAAGTTTAACAAAACAAGAAAAACGTCAATGAAGAGTTAGAGAAACAAATCGTCGCTCTTCTTGTGTTAACTTCAGTGTTTTGTAAATTACTCGTAGAATTATAAAGCTGCTCATTTTAATAACAAACTAAGAGAAGGATTTATTTCACGAGGAACTTTTAGTCGCTTCCATAATACAAAGCAAATTGAGAATTACTGCCAGTTAGTTTTATAGTAGATGAAACTAAAGTCCAGTTTAAAAGGACAGTTCAGCCGACCCATTAAAAAAAACTTATTACTTATTTACATTATAAGCTTTGTTGAGCCATGCAAAAAACATTTGGTTAGAATTTATGGGAGAGATGTTGTAATGACTTGCAATAAACTGTACAAATGTACCTAATAAAGTGTAATTTTTGTTTCTCTAAATATTTTTTTAAATGCATTTTGAAAGCTAAAAAGGTTTTTCTAGATATAAAGTCAAGGTACCTCAGGGTAATTCACAGACCTATAAATTACATTAAGCTGATATTACTGCATTCATTTTTAAATTTTTTATGTTTTGGGCGAGCTTACCTTTTTGAAAATGATTTGATTGTGAAATAATGGCCTTTTACTGCAAAATGGTCCTACAGCTCACATTTAGCGACGTCTTTTACCATTTAAAGAAAATGCCACGTTTCACTTTCAAATTTTTAACTACACCTAAAATAAGTAACATTTCATCAGAGCACCCAATCTGTCTTAAAGTGGATCCTGTAGATTCTGGTATCAGGACACCTCTCGGTTACTGATAGAGAAATGCTCTGTCCCTGAAATCCTTCACCTAAAAAGTGTGAACACAGGCTAAGGAAAGACATTTCATCCCGCACAGACTTCAAAGCATTCATCATTACATGATGAAACATTGGAATCTGGGAAACTATTTTCTCTTACTTCGACTCAGCCCATCATATGAGGGATCTAGGAAAGTACAAAGCATGGAACTATACTCTGTAGAAATGAGGTTTAAAAAACATGATCTGGTCTTTCAGGGCTGAAATCCAACACAGCCCTGGCAGAGGTGGATGATGGATCATTTTCTTCTCGTCCCTTTGGTATGGAGCAGCGCTGCCTGGCAGAGGTGCTATCTCTGCAGATTATTTACATCACATTGCAGGCTTTTTGGATACTGAAGTTCAGATCTCTTTATGTCTTTATCACACTGAATTGTCAGAGTAGCTGTTGCTAGAAAGAAGCAGACCTCTTGGATGGCTGCTATCTGCGGTCTGCATGTTTAGAGAGCGTCTCTGAAAAAATCTTGTTGAAAAGGTCAGAATGTGTTTGACCATTGTGTCGATTCAACAGCTTTTCATCACTTCCAGCTCCTCACTCAACTCTGATGGAGTCCAGTGATGCTCCTGCCATCTGTTCCCTCTGACTCGCTCTCTTTCTAACTAACTCTCACCCCACCCACCCTTTAATACCACCGTCTTTGCTTTTCCCTGCATGCAGACATGGCTAAAACTGACTGAGACAAATGTTAAAAGCAATATTTATTCTGGAGATGATAGATTTCCTTAAAGTAAAAGTAAACATACAACCATTTGTTATTGTGGGTTGAGAGAACTGAATTGCAAGACGGGCTTATGGGAAATGTGTACTGAAGGACCACAATCTGACTAATGTCTCTTGACAAACCACTTTGTTTCCCTCAACTTCCCATCTGTCAAAACAATCAATTTCTTACCCAATCTGGCTCTAAGTGATCCATGTATCCTGCGCTCATGCCATGAAACCAAATCAGACAAAAAAAAAAACTGATTATGCTACTAGTTTGGAAGATAAAAATACTTAACTTGTTCCTCGAGATGCAACGAGACAGAATAACAAAAGTGGCAGATTCTACTGGTGGGGCCTGCCCTGTATCACTCAGTCAATAAGCATTCAATTACATCTTTTACCTAAATTGTTCAGCTGAAATGCCATGCCAACATCTTCACTTCATTCAAAGCTCGTCCTCGTCTTTGCTCAGCTGTGCCTCACATTAATCTGATGTTGTCTTTGAAATGACAGTCTCCTGGCACAGAGGGAGGGATAATGATTCATCAAGTATTTTTCAGTGGGCAGAAAAACAACAACCACAGGAGAGTCATCCGATGCAGGAAGAAAGCCCCACAGTAATTAGTTTCATACTTGGCAAAAGCACACAGTCCCTCTTGTTATGGACAGCAAATGAAAAAAGAAGGCAATCAATACCTTGTGTCGGAATCTCACGACTGGTCGATAGGGCGGTGACCCGAATCCCTCCTTGTTGGGTCTCCCGTTGGCGCCGAGCGCAGCGAGCCCCAACAGTAAAACTGCAGCCGACCACCATCTGGCCGTCTTCATTGGTCTTTTCCTGTCAAAAACCAAACAAGAATTGTGAGTCCTCTCCACCAACACTCTCGAGGTTCAGTACCGGTTGGCCAAGACAATACATCAAGTCCGCTGTAATTAGTGTAGACAATGGGAACCGCAAAACTGTCGCTGGTTTAAACTAAAGCTATCAATACGTGCCCATGCTCGGTGAGGAGATTAGATCTCCTTTTGAATCAATTATGGGCAAATAGACGTCATGAGAAAATCAAGATAAAGAAGACAAAGAGCCAATATATTAAGGCAATTAAAGCAAGGGCTTTGGATTAATTAGGCTGAGTGTCTAAGTCAAGCAACTGTGATGTAGCGGAGAGATTACATCTTAAACAGCTTCCTTGCAGCCTTGCAGAGATGCAGCCCAAATATATTTATTTAAAGGAGGGAGAATATTCATTTCAATTATTCATTATGCTGTGTAAAAACAAGTTTGACCTTTGCATGACATGAATTAAACAAAACAGAGTTTGTGAAGGAAAAGAACATGCCCTGTGAAAATGTCTGTGTCACAGAAATAGCAATGTTAAGGACGAGGGAAGCACACAGAGAAGAGGATATGTGTTAGTCAGGACTCTTATGCTGGCAAACACAAGGCTGAATATGCACACAAATACACAAACACACACGTTTTATGTTCAAGCCTGCAATGTGTTCGCTTCTTATTTTCATCCTTTGTCTTTATCGACATTTGTGCCCTCAGCTCCTTACGCAAAAATCCCCATTTGTCAGAAGCACTTTAGAAATTTGACTCGGCTTGACTTGTTGATTTTCGCAGGCAAACACTGAGCTGCACTTTCTAAGCCGTCTCAAGCCACCAGTGCCTGCTCATCATCCTCCAGCGGAGCGAGATGACTGACAGCAGGACGGTGACCCTGCTTCCTTGTTCTTCTGGAGTGACACTGAGTCAGACAACAGAGGAAGTGTTGTGGCAGCTCTGTGGGCCCACACATGCTATTCACTGGAGGTCAGGAGGTCGTGCCAGCAGAGCGACATGTCACCGTGATGTACTGGACGAAGAGGGAACACAGAAACTTTATTTTTCATGACTTTATGTCACTTTATGTTCCTGAGCTGCCCGACACCTGCAGGTTTTCAGATCTTTCCATTATAACTCCTTTACTTTAAAGCTGGGGTGTGCATGGCTGGTTCTAGATTGAAACATATTTTTAAACTGTGTGTTTACCATTTAAAGACATTTAGAAAACTATGTTCCTTATCAAACTCTAAGACAAACTTGATAGAATCTCTCTCTACAGAAATTACACCCATTATCAGCACACCCACTGACCCATTAAGCTCCTCACACCGAATTTATAAGAATGTTATTCTTCACAACTGAGACAAACAAACCAGCTAAACAAAGGAGACAAAGGAAGTAATGTCCAAGTTGGAGGCGACATTTTAGCATACTCCTGTTTGTTAAAGCCTCGTTCTTCAGTCTGATTGCTTTGAAAACAAAGCTTTAACATTTGTAGGTGATATGTTTGATTGCATCCCTTTATTTCCGTTTCTATCAGTGTAGTTGGGAAGAAACCTTGATAATCCAGTGGTCAGGGAGTTTTAGTTTCAAAGAATGAAATTCAAAAGATCACCGAAACTGATAAAAATATTTATTCAAATACTGGTAATGATCAACAGCCATACCAACCCCCAGCAGACACATTATGGTCATTTTGGGCTGTGGAGCTTTAAAAGTCTCACGTGGAATGGCTTTAATGTGATCATATTCATTCTCTATGCATTTCAAAGCTCTCCAGGTAGGAACCATGCCTGCAGCTGCTGCTGCTCCACTTCTCTGCTAACACAGTCTTTTAGCCACACTGGGTGGATTACCATATCTGCTAGCACAATCAATCAACTTCTTTGCGGCGTCCCAGTGTTAAATGGGTTATTAATGGACTAACTTTTGCAGGATGCTGTGTCAGAGACAGAGACATATGCACAGTTTTAAGAAGTTTAACTGCGTCATACAGCATAGTTCCTCAGAGGCATTTAACTCATTATGAACAGTCACAACTGCAACATAAACAAGTGTATTTCTAGCGCATCTTCTGCTGACTATTGAATTATGAGTAATCTCTCTGTGTGCTCCAAACAGCTTCTTACTGTCAGCTGTGCTGTTCTGCATTTCATTAGAAGAGCCTAATAGAAAAGATTTGGCACAATGAACAACTATAGAAAGCATTTGGATAGAATATGTTGAACAAAGGCTGTGATGCTGCTGAGCTGAGAAGTGTGCATCCCATTTGTATCAGAGAGGGTAAATGCTAAACAGACTGCATTTATATAATTCTATACTACCTAAATGGGATTAAATACTTTGCAACAACAAGAAGGACCCTAGGCACAGTAAACATTAAAAGCAACAACAACAGAAACATTAACAACCAAAATGATCATAAAACTGTACGAACATATTCCTTAAACTGAAATAACTAACTTTTAATTTACAAAATTGAGCCAAAATGCCAAATGCACAGTGCCTTTAGGTTTGAATATATGGATACTTGATGATTTCCAACGCTTCTAATTGTACACGGAATGTCTTTGGGCTTTGAACAGTTGGTTGAACAAAACAACACTATTAATCAATTAGTTTAGCAAATACTCAGTAGAGTCATCGATAATGTAAATAGTCATTAGTAAACACCCTAAACATTACAAACCTGAACATTATAAGGTAGGAATTAATGCAGGACTCTGTTTTTTTTAATAGACTGAATTAGTTTTAGCTAGGTGTACATAATTAACTGGCAACTGAGTTTATTATGTCTTTGCAAGAATTACCCAAAACAAAACTGAGGGTTTCCTTTTCTGCTTAAGGTCTATCTATGCCATGCCATGATGATTGGCAACTAAGTGTCTGAATGATGTGTTTTTCCTATATTTAATCACAGTAACAATTTGGGGCTTCACAGCTCGTATTTAACATTAACATTTAACTGATACCGAGAAAAAGCTCCACAAGTTATGCTATCAAGGTGAAATGTCTGGAAACACCAGATATGCCAAAATAAACTGACATAACACGTGTGCCAGTGTGGGGAAATCACCTAAAAAGTGTTCAGTCACAGCTTAGCCTGCACCCTCTAAAATATTCTCCGTTTTATTCTGATGTTAGTGCGACCTGTATGCTAACGAAGTATATTGTTAGTCTACGAAATGTCACCACTTGTCATGTAACTTGGTGTTTTAACCACCAGCCCCTCACAACAACAACAACTTGACTCTTTACAGAGAACAAAAAGCGACTCATAGTGAGGCTGTGATTTATTTAGTGAGTTACTGCCATCAAATAAAGCCTGGTCTTATATTTCATATGTTGCCATAAGCTACAGTCTGTTTATTCGGTTTGTTTATAGACCTACATACTCGCATAATGAACAATGGTATACGTGATGTCATAAATCCTGAAATGTTTTTTAAGAGGAGAAGCAAAATACTGTTTTATATTGCAAATAATATGACTTTATGTGATCGCTTTGGTCCTTATTTAAGCTGACATCAACTGCTGTGTGAGCATGTGTATATAAGTGTATGTACAAGTCTTTGCATGTGAGAGAAAAGTGTGCACGATTGAGTAGACGCTGCAAGTTTTGAGCCTTATATTATCTGTCTTGAAAGTACAGGAGACAGGAACAGTCCGGAAGTTTTTCTTGGACCCCCCCAAGGGAGTGCCATCATAACTTTGGCGTGTGGTTTTAAATCCCCCAGAGCACGTCTAAGCTTTGTCATTGACTTTCAAATGAAGACTACCTATTTCCCACTATGTACACAATGAATCATGTCTTGACAAGCTCTCAGCCGCTCTCCTCCACCTCCCCCATCTATCTCATTCAGCAGATTTTTGCCATTCAATGCACAGGGGGAGCTAACAACAGAAATGTCCATACATCCCCTCTTGTAGATGCTATGGGTGTGTATACAGACAGGTGACAAATAAAAGGGAAAATCAACATAGTGTCTTAGCACCATGTGCCACCAGAACAGCTTCAGTGTGGCTTTTGTACATTTATTCTACAAGCCTCCGGAAATCTGCAGGACTGAGCAGCATCATTCTTCTAAGAGATGTTTCTACTTTTGGTGTTTTTATGATGGTGGTGGACAGAACACATAAAGCTCCCATGGATGTCTAACTGGACTGAGATCTGGTGACTGCAAAGGACATAGCATTTGATTCATCGCATTTTCATCAAACCATTCAGCACCATATTGGAAGGGGTGCTGTCACCCTGGAACAGACCACACCCACCAGGATAGGAAACACTTCATCACACGATGACGGTAATCAGTCAGAAAAACCTTGTTTTGCTTTTCAGTGACCTTTCCCTATAAGGAGACAAGTAGACTCAAAGCCTTCCAACTAAATGCTCCCCACAGCACAACACAAACACCAGATCCACTCGTTGTAGGGGTCAAGCGTTCTGGCCTGTACCAGTATCTTAGTGTACGCCTCACATGCACTCGTCCACTTACAGGGTGATGATCTGACCTTACTTCTTTTTTCCACATCTTTGTAGACCAAAGCCAGGGAGGGTTTATACTACTAACAGCTCATCTGTGCATTCGCCTTTGCATCATATCCCTCTGTATGCAATATAGTCAAAGAAACTGATCTTTCTGACACAGTTTGATCACTGCTCCTCATGCACTCTACTGACAACAATTTCTGACATTATTTACTCATGTCTTTCCCGTGGAGCTAAAGGCAGATGTCACTTCGGTCTCTGTTCCTGTTGAAACACTGGTCAGATAAGCAATATTTGTGACTGAAGCTCCTGCCAGCTGTGCCCCAACAATGAACCTTATATCAACGAGACTGAGCTTGTTTCTACTTGTGATCAACAGGGTCTTACATGCCGCAGATCCTGATTGGATGTCAGTTGCTTAATTGCACCATGCAGTGCACTTATGTGGAAACATTTATATTCCTTGTGTTTTTCCATTCATTTCTTCACTATTTTCCTTTAATGTGT